AAAAACTCAATTCTTATCATTTTAAAACACAATCACCAACAAATCCTCCCAGAACTCATATAATCTGAATAAACTTGTACTACAGATGCCCATTGTGTCCTTCCCTGTATCACACCCCCTTCCTGGACAGCCCGCCCCACGAACAGCCCAATAACTGAGCAGCGGAGCTGAGGGCATCTTTGGTGACATCAATTATGGGCTAAATCCAAGCAGAGCAGAAGCTGATCTAAGAGAGAGTGCAGATATGAGACCATGTGACTCCAGAACAAGCCAGAGAGACGCTTCATTCACTCAATCTTTAATCAAATGATCATGGCATGGTCTGCTTCCATTGGCATTTTACAAAATTCAACCTTCTTTCATGAAACACTCAACACACTAGAAATAGAAGGAAATTACCTCAATATAGTAAAAGCTATCTATAAAAAGCCCACAGCTAACATCATACTCAATGGTGAAAAGCTGAAAGCTTTCCCTTTTAGTAACAAGGCCAAAATGCCTATTTTTGACACTTCTATTCAAAATAGTACTGGAAGTCCTAGCCAGAGCAATTAGGCGAAGAGAAGAAATAAAAGGCTTCCAAATTGGAAGAGAAGAAGTAACACTGTCTCTGTTCACAGATGACATGACCTTCCATGGGGAGAAAACCCTGAAGTTCCACAAAAAAATAGTTAAAATTAATTTAAAAATTTAGCAAAGTTGAAGAATATAAAATCAACACACAGAAACCAGCTGTGTTTCTGTACACTAACAATGAGCAACCTGCAAGGGAAATTGAGAGCGCAGTCCCACCTGCAACAGCGTTAAAAAGAATAAAATAATTAGGAATAAACTTAACCAAACAGGCAACGACATGCACACTGAAAACTACAAAACATCGCTGAAAGCAGTCACACAAGACAGAAATAAGTACAAACCATCCCGTATTCATGAACTAAAAGAGTTAATACTGTCAAAATATTCATAATACTCAAAGTGAACTACAGATTCAATGCAATCTGTGTCAAAATAATTAATGGCATTTTTCATGGAAGCAGAAATAATCATCCTAAAATTCATATGGGATCTCAAAGGACCCCGAATGGCTGAAACAATCTTAAGAAAAACAAAAAGGAAAGCAAAACTAGAGTCTTCACAACTCCTGATTTTAAAACAGGGTACAAAGTCCCAGTACAGTACTGGCATGAAAGCAGCCACACAGATCAGTGGAACAGTCCACGGCAGAGACCACAGAAACAGACACTCACTTACGTGGGCAAATGATCTTTGACAAAGCTGTCAGGCTACCCAGTGGGGAAGGGACAGTCTCTTCAACAAACAGAGCTGGGAAACTGAATACCTACATGCAAGAGAATAAAGCAGGCCCCTTGCATTCCACCATATACAAAAACCAACCCAGAGTAGGTTAGATGTAAGCAAGGTCCTAAGGTCCTAAATGTAAGACCTGAAACTATAAACTCTTAGAAGAAATCATACAGGAAAAACTTCATCATGTTGGATTTGGCAGTGATTTCTTAGATACGACACCAAAATAACAGGCATAAAAAGCAAAAATAGACAAACAGGACTACATCAAACTTAAAAGCTTCTGCACAGCAAAGGAAACAACAAACAAAATGAAAAAGCAACCTGCGGAATGGAAGAAAAAACTTCACGTCATGTATCTGATGAGGAATTAACACCCAGGATACAGAAAAACTACAACTCAACAACAAAATCCCCCAAATAACCAGATTTAATAAATCAGCAAAGGACTTGAAAAGACCTTTCTCCAAAGAAAATATACAAATAGTTAACAAGCACATGAAAAGATGCTCAACATCACTGATCATCAGGGAAATGCAAATCAAAACCACAATGAGATACCACTTCACACCCACTAGGATGGTCGCTATTAAGAAAAAAGAAAGCAAAGAAAGTGTTGGCAGTGAGATGGAGAAACTGGTACCCTTGTACTCTGTTGGTGGGAATGTAAAATGGTGCAAGCGTTGTGGAAACAGCATAAAGGTTCCTCAAAAAATTAAAAAATAGAATTACTATGTCATCCAGCAAATCTCACTTCCTAGCATCGATCCAGAAGGACTGAAAACAAGATCTCAAAGAGACATCTGCACGCCTATACTCATCGCAGCCTTGTTCACAATAGCCCGGGGTGGAAGCAGCCTAAACGTCTACTGACTGACGCCTGGATAAAGGAAGCGTGGTATGTGCATACGATGGGATTCTATTCGGTCTTAAAACAGAAGGAAAGCCTGTTACATGCTGTAACATGGGTGAACCTTGAGGACATCATGCTAGTGAAGTAAGTCAGCCACAAGAAGTACTTACTGCGTGATTCCATTTATTTGGAGTATCTACAGTAGTCAAATTCAAAGAAACAGAAAGTAGCATGACAGCACCCAGGGGCTGGGGGAAGGGGACAATGGGAGTTGTCTGGTGGGTCTCGAGCGTCAGCTCTGTAAGGTGACAAAGTCCCAGAGACCCGCTGCACAGATGTACTGGGCACTCAGCAGTGACTGAGATGGTCAATTTTATGTTTGTGACTTTTACCATAGTTAAAAAAAAGGTAACTGACTGATGACAAAACAATGGCAATCATGAAACTGATACCATATATAGAGGCAAAGTATATGACCAAAACAACACAAGGCAAGGGGGGGAAAACATAAGTCTACCAGTTACAGGTTCTTTAATTTTATGTGTGGTGGTATAAAATTACCTGAAGATAAACTGCAAATTTAAAAAGAATGCTGAGAGAACTTAAAAGCCTCAAGATGAATATTTTTAAGATATTAATTTGACCCAAATAAACAGTTCATCAATTTGAAAGCCTTTTTTTTTTAAAGAAAGCACCATGTCAATACTCATATGGAAATGCAAATAGTTGAGAATAGTGAAAAAATAATCTTGAGAAAAGAGGAAATGTTGAGGATTTACACTAAATGATTTCAAAACTTCCTAGGAAGCTACAATAAGAGAGGATGGTACTGAAATAAAGGTGCAGAAGTCAAAGGAGCAGAATAAAAAGGCCAGAAACTGTGTCTGTCTTCGTCTCTCGTCCTGTCTGTCTGTCTGTCTCTTTCATCTGCTACAAAGGCAGTAGAGTCAATACTGTCAAAAAAATGCCTTTATCTTTTACTATTGGCCAATGAGCGGTTAGAGTTCCAAACCTTAAAATTTCAAAGCAACAGGAAGTCTAAACATAAAAGCCATCATCTCTTTCTTTCTTTTTATCTTAATCATAAATATGTTCATTTCTGCCAACTCTAAGTATCCAGCCAAGGGAAAAAAAAGAAAAACAACTTTGTCATCATTTTCATCGTCGACCTAGCAGAGTGGATGTTACTAAGAGAGGTGTGGCAATCCAAGCGTAATGAGGGTGTTGAAAACGGCTGCAGAGCATGACCCAACCTCGTGAATAAATCTTACCTGGCAGAGAAACAAGAAACTGAATTAGAGTGGCTGCCGGGAACATGACTGTAGGTGAAGACTGAATGGAAGTGTTTGAGGAAACGGCACCTTGCTTCTGATTCGTGGAGAGAAAGCAATTCTGGGCTGCGTGTCTCTTCTCCTCCAATTCCTGTGGACTCTGCACTATTTACAAAAGGAGCCGTCCCTGCCATGGCACCAATTTGCTAATCTTTTCCCCCATGATACTATAACCCACCTGTAATTAAGCAATTAATCAACAGACTCAGGAGTGCCCCAGTTGAAAATTAAACTCTTTTATCCAGATTTTGAACAAGGCTACAAACCTTGTTCCAAACTACCAACTGAAGTGCCAGCTACTCTGCAGGCTGGAGTAAAACATCGCATTCTGTCTCCTCCGGGGGCATCCTCTCTCCTCCTGTCCTTTAAGTGTTCAAATTTCTCAGGCTAGGTCTGACGTTCTCCTTTCCTTTTAGGCTCCTGCACTAAACTTTTGTCTTTTTTTTTATTGTGAACAAATATGAATAACACAAAATGTACCATTTTATCCATTTTTTAATAAGCAGTTCAGTGCATTAAGTACAGTCACACTGCTGAGCACCCTCCTTCTTGCAGTAACACTGATGGCTACTCAAACACCTGTCTCAGCCCAGATCTCGTTCCCGAAACCTGACGATTCAACATCTCCTTTTGGATATTATGGCATTTAGGTTTCTCTTAGGTGCAAACAACAAAAACCACTGCTAGCCAATTAGATAGAAAAGGATTCTTCTGAAAGGATTTCGGGTAATTCTTTCGGAAGAATCAGAGAATAGTGCTTCCTCATGTTTGGAGGATGGGTGTATACATACGTACCTCTCAGTCACGATGTGGGAGTGAGCACATAAAAATACCACTGCTGTTACAACTGGGCACAGACCACCACTTGCAGTTGTACTGTCAGAGCAGGCAGGTAGCTAGATATGAGCAGAGAAAGGGGGCCCGGGCCAAATGGCAGGAAACCACACATCTTGTAAACAACGGGGGTCCTTGGGCAGAGAAAGAAAAGCAGGAACCTCTGGACTGATAGGAAACCACACATCCTGGGCTGATGTGTCCTGGAGGCTGACAAAGAAAGGTGGGAAAACGCAGGAATCTCCAGTGTCTGGATGCAAACTTTTGCTCATTATGCCTTCATTACAATAAAATTGGCCTTGCAGATCTGAAGTACCCATCATGCACAGACACCGGGACACTTCCGATCCAGATTAATAAGGACAAAAAAAAATCCCTTTTCTCCTCAGGAAGGTGGAGCTGGGATGAAAATCAGGAAATACAGCCCCAAACCCCTCCCTCCCCAATGAATACTCCACCCATTCATTTTTACACCCCAAGTAACCACCCTGCCAAAGAAACTCAGCCCAGATACTCACCGCTCGCCCCTTCAGAGTGTACTATCGCTTAATAAATCCTTGCTTTGCTTTCTAGACCTCCGCATCTTGTCTCAGAATTCCTTCTGCAACTAGACAAGAAGCTCCTCTCCAGTCACAATATCTCCGGGGACCTACTGCTAGAAGCTCTGAGATCCGCACCTGGCTGCGGCTGCGGCTGCCACATGAGCACGGATGTCACAATGGCCTTCCTTTTCCACATCACCTGTCTCCACCTCAAAGTCTGGACCAAGTGTGCCTCGTTGACCAAGTCTGGGTCATCTCAGCTGTGAGAGGAGCACCCCCTATCTGGAGACCAGCTCTCACTCATCAGATGGAAAAACTGCCAGAGCAAAGGGCAGGTGCTCGGTAGCTGAAAACAAGAAAATATGCTCATTAGCCTCTTTAACAGGCACTTCAAACTCATTATGAACTTAGAACTCCTGGTATTTCTCCCCAAACATTCTTGTGTTCTTTTTACCATGCAAGCACCAAAGGCAGAGATATAGAAGTATTCATTCTACATTCTGCTGCATTTTTCCCCACCAGTTACATCTCAAGTATATCCTGAATCCATCCACTTCACTCCAGATCCATTCCTATCATTTAAATCCAAGATTTTTTACTTAGAATATTCCTAAATATTAGTCTCACCCATTATAACAGCTTCACTGAATTTAACTTACATGCAACCCTAGTCACCCATTTAAAAGTACAATTCAATAATTTTCAGTATTTTCAGGGTTGTGGTACAGACTGACCACAAAAATCTGTTAGAACATTATCGTCACCGTCCCCCATAAAACTCTGTAGCCATCAGCAGTCACTCCTTATTTCTCCTCAAGACCCTGACGCTTAGACAACCACTAACCTACTTTCTATATAGCTGGAGCTGCCTGTTTTGGATATTGCAAGTGAATGGACTCATACAGTATACAGTCATTTGTAACCAGCTTCCTTTTTCAAGGTTCGTCCATGTTGTAGCACTGATCAGAATTTCATTTCCTTCCTTGCTGAGTGACATTACATTGCAGCATGCATCACATTTTATCTATTTCATCATCAGTTAATGGCATTTAGATTGTTCTCTCCTCTATAATGAAGGATGCTGCTATGAACATTCAAGTACAGGTTTTTGTATGAACATATATTTTCAGTTCTCTTAGATATACACCTAGGAGTGCAGATCCTGGGTGGTAGGGTAACTCCATTTTCAACATTTTAAGAACTGCTAGTTGTTTTCCAAAGCAGCTACTCCATTTTACATTCCCACCAGCAATGGGAGTGTCCAAAATTCCTCCACATCCTCGCTGACACTCTGACACTTGTTTTGTCTTTTCGATTATATTCATCTTACGGGCTATCAAGTAGTGTCTCAGTGCAGTTTTGATTTGCATTTCCCTGATTATTAACGAAAGTGAACATCTGTTTCTGTGCTCATTGGTGACCTGTACATGCTCCATGGAAAATACCTATTCAAACACTTTACCCATCTTTAAATTGGGTTGTCTGTCTTTATGTTGTTAAGTTATAAGTGCTCTTTAAATTCTGGAAACAACTCTCTTATCAGATACATGATTTGCAAATGTTTTCTCCCATTTTGGAGTCTGTCTTTCACTTTCTTGGAAATGTACAATGTCCTTTGAGGCGTATGTTTTTATCAAGCCCGATTTATCTGTTTTTTCTTTTATTGTTTGTCCTTTTCACATCACACCAAGAAACCACTGTCTAATCCAGGGTCACAAAGATTTGACTGTTGTTTTCTCCGAAGATGTTACAGTTATAGCTCTTACATTTAGGTCTTTGCCCCATTTTGAGTTAATTTTTAATATGGTATGATGCAGAAGTCCAAATTCATTCACATGTATGTGGAAATCCAGTTGTCACAACATCATGTGTTGAAAAGACTTCTTTCAACAATGAATTTGGCACTTTTGCCAAAAATCAGTTAATTAAATATATGTTAATTTATGGACTCTGAATTCTAGGCCATTGATTTATATGTCTTTCCTTATGCCTGTATGTCTTGACTACTGTAGCTTTGCAATAAGTTTTAAAATCAGAATATATGAGACCTCTGACTGTTCATTTTAAAGATCGTTCTGGCTAATTCAGATCTCTTGCATTTGTGTATGAATTTTAAGATCAGCTTGTCACTTTCTGCAAAAAAAAAGGGACAGATTTAATCGAGTGTATTGATTTCCTTGATCAAACTGGGGAGAACTGCCATCTTAATAATTTATCTTTCAATCTACAAACATATGATGTCTTTCCATTTATTTAGGTCTTTTTTAATCTCTTTCAAAAATGTTACATAGTTTTCAGAGATGACATTTTGCCTTTATTGCTAAACATATTTTTAAGTATTTCATTATATTTGGTGCCATTATAAATGGAATTTTCTTTTAATTAGGGCTCCCATAACAAAGAACCACAAAGTGGCTTAAACAACAAAAATTCCTTCATTCTCTCCCAGTTGTGAATGAGAGAACTCTGAAATCAAAGTGGCACCAGGACCACGCTCTCTCACCTGGCTCATAGAAACCCTTGGTGTTCCCTGGCTTGCAGCTGCACGAATCCAATCTGTCTTCACTGCCATATGACCGTCTTCCCTTCGTGTGTCTGTCTCCTCTGTGTGTCTGTTCCTAAGTCTTTTCTCTTTTTCAGTATAAGGGCACCAGCCATGTACTAGTAAGGGTATACCCTACTCCAGAAGGCTCTCAACTGAATTAGACCTTAATTATGTCTCCAAAGACCCTATTTCCAAATCAGGTCATATTCTTAGGTACCAGGGGTTAGGACTTTGACGGATCTTTTTGGGATTCACAAGCCAACGTACAACACTATCATTTTGGGATTGTTTATTGACAGTGTATACGATTTTGTAGATTGATCTTGAATCTTACTGAATTCATTTATTAGCTCTCATATTTTAGTGGATTCTTTAAGATATTCCATACGTAAGCTCATGTCATCTGTAAATAAGGTTTTACTTCTCCCTCTCTGATCTGGATGTTTTCTGCTTTATTTTCTTGCCTGATTGTCCTGTACAGAATCTCCAGTACAATGTTGAATATATGTAAGTGGCAAGAGCAGATATGCCTGTCTTTTTCCTGACTTTAGGGGAAGGCTTTCAGTCTTTACCTTTAAGTATGATGGTAGCTATATTCCATAAATAACTCATTATAAGACTGAGTTTCCTTCTATTTGTTGTCTGCTGAGTGTTTTTCATCATGAAGGTCTTTTGGATATTGTCAAATGCTTTCTTCTATTCATCTGGTGTTAAGGACTGAATTGTGCCCCACTTCCCAAATCTGTATGTTGAGGCCCTAACCTCCAATGTGACTGTATTAGGATATAAGGCCTTTAAAAAGATAATCAAAGTTAAATAAGGTCATAAGGCTGCTGCCCTAACCTGTAAGAAATGGTGTCCTTATAAGAAGAGGATGAAACCTCCCCATGCATGGATAGAGAAAGGGCCATGTGAGCGTACAGCAAGAAGGTGGCCATCTACAAGCTGGGAAAAGAGCTCTCACCAGAAACTGAATTTGCTGGCTTCTTGACCATGGACGTCCAGGTTCCAAAATTGGGAGAAAATAAATGTCCGTTGTTTAAACCACCAGCCTATGATATTTTGTAATGGTAGCCCAAGCAGTCTAACATATATATTACATTAATCGATTTTCAGATGTTAAACCAACCTTGCATTTCTGATTCTGGCCACTTGATCATGGTGCATAATCCCTTTATATGCTGCCGGATTCAGTGTCATAGTATTTTGTTGAGGGTTTTTGCACCTACATTCACAAGGAGATCATTTTGCTATGAATGATATTAGATAATGGGCAAAATGTAGATGAGATGAGAATTAGATGTAGTAATGCATCTGTGTTAATTTCTTGATGTTAATGGTACATTTCGGGTGTCTCCAATAAATGAGTGTTTCATCTCCACTTCCTATCATCCAGCTGGCCCTGACACTATTCAAGCATGTAAGTTTCCTGTTAGGGAAAGCAACCTACAGAACCATTCCTAAAGGTTGAATGAATATCAGGCGATTTTTAATCAGCCCAAACTATTAACTCAATGCCAATGAGAGAAGAAAAAGGAACAAAGAAAAAAAAAAACAATTTCATGAAAAGGCACTTTATCAAATTCTAAGGCATCATGATCATGAACAGTTAAAACCTATTCATTCCTAGATTAATGTAACTAATCAAATGCTTTGGGTCTATTTGTTTACCACCAGTTCACATATAGAAAGTATTTAAATTAGCCTAAATTAAATACATGTGGCAGAATAATACAAGGGAAGGGAAAATAAATCTAACTTCCACTTTTTATTCACACCATTAGTACAAGTCCATTAATTTCAGTACAAATCCAGGAGTTTATTTAATCATTAAGGAAACTTTACTGTCCTACCATATAATTTAGGTTAATAGAAAATTTAAAAAAGACTGAAGACAAACTATCTTAAGACATTAATCAATCTTTTAATGTATCAATTTATTGCATGTCAGTACAGAAAAATAGAAAGTATATTTTAAAAGAAATTTATTGTTAAAAAACAAAAATGTTTGCCTGCCATGATTAGCACATAATGTACTATAACATTCAAATTTGAGTTATAAAATTGTATTACTGCTTCAAATAAAATATGGCAAATAACAAAATATGATTTACATTATGAAACTGGATTGACTTATTTTATCCTGAATGTACTTGAATAGGCTGAAAATAACTTGAATTTTCAGTATATGGTGTACTGACAGAAATTGCTATAAATTATGTTAAAGACACACTCATCCCTGGTACATATGTATATATGACACTTTTTGTAAACAAGTGTCTCTTATACATAGTCCTACTGTTAAACTACACTTTTAAGATACAAAATATAAATGGAGGTATATTTGTGCCATTTGGCAAAAATGTGTTGACTACTTACTATTAAGGATGAATGCACTTATTTCACCATAAAATTAACATACTATTTCTGGTTAGCTAAGATGATGTGCATATATGGCAATATAAACAGAAGTGCTTTTTATTTTCAACTCTATTGATTTAAAAAATAGATGTCTGTGCTCTATCATTTCCAACTTGACCTGAGTGATATGAAAATACATGAATTTAAGTGGATCATTCAAAAGCATTATGACTATTTGTCACGTGTCTTTTTCCGTAATTGCTGTCAAACACTGTGAGAAAAACGGGGCGGGGGGAGGTCAGGTTTTCAGAATATCTCAACCACGACCTGATTTAACAAGCGACTTCTGTGACATCATCTTTTAAGGTTTACCTTATTTACTCCTAACCTCAGGGAAGGAATGGACTCAATCATAAAAACTACACTGTAGTTGGGCTTGCAAGATAGTTCATAGAAAACTGAATACGGCCTTCACTCCTTAATTCCACTGAACAAGCCAATACCCACCTCAAACCAAATCTTACAAACATAAGAGATGAATGTGAAAGCATCAGGTGACACTAACTCCAAGTGTTACAAAGAGTTAATCAGGTGATGTACTGCCAAAGGGGGGATCAGGTTATCATCAACCGTCTACAGACCATGAAAAATAAATTTAAACTGCCCCCATAACAAAATTCGAAATACCATTTTAATGAAAACACCAATTTTACAGCCAAAGTATTTGCAAAAGCATAGGGTAGGTGCAACATCAGGGACTCCAATCACCTTCTGTTAGAAATGCCTTGTTTTGTTCTGAATGTTAGGTTTCCTCATCACCAATCTCATCAGCTAATTACTTCCTAGATCGAAGCTTGAGAACTATGTCACATTTCCCCATCCAGTTGTTTCTATCCTATTTGCACTTTTATCTGTTACAAATGATTTCTTTCCGCATTTTGCAATATCAATTTAGGATCCTTTTTGTCATTTTACCCCCAGTAGTCCCTTTTAAAATAATCAATTTTGATCTAAATGAATTTTATCTTGCCATCTAAAATCATTCTAGGATTTCCAAATTACAGTAGCTTAGTAACTTTAAAAACTCATTCAGAAACTCCTATAGGGGATGCGCATGTGTAAATGAGCCAGAAATTAATAAACAAGATGGACACACCCTTATTCCCACTAAGAGATGGGTCCAAAATGAGGGTGTGACCCATGAAGAATCCATGTTTTATTAAGATCAATTGCTACGGCCACAAAATTAGACACATTTTATAAAACTGATGCCATGGGCTTCATGGGCCCCTGATGATAGGAGTTTGCTTTCTACCTCCTTCCCGTCTAAGGAAGTAGTCCCCAGTACAGAAGCCAGGAAAGACGGATGGACTACAACCCTAGACGCAACCTCTTCCCTTCGCTGCAGAAGGAAAGGGAATGGAGGGAGGGAGAAACACAAGTACTCCAGAACTTCCGAAGTCCCAGATTAAAAAAAAAAAAGCCGGGGGGGGGGAGGGTGACTGTAAATCTGGAGCACTGAAAGAGAACAAAAGGCAGCGTAAAACGAAGCCCTGCTGAAGAAAGCTTTCTATGCTCCATCAGCATAATATTTATAACTAAAGTTGATACATTCCTCCACAGCGCAGGAGACTAAATGATTACATGAAAAGCTAAGAAGGTCCTCTGTAAACTTGAAGAATGATAGAAGTCTAAGGTGTGCTGTGTATAAGCTCATGTCTAAATACACTACACTTTGTTGTAGTAACTGTTTTCTTTTTAATACGTTACTATTTAGGATACTCGTTCTACATAGCAATGATTGACAAGATGAAAAGTAGCCTTTAATTGTAGTGAATTTATACATACAAAATACACCTTCCATGATACGCGTTACCAACTTTTTTTTATAAAAAGCATGATTTTTTTTACAATTTATAGAAAACATTATCCTTTAGAAATCATACTTGCTATAATTTACTTTTTCCTAAATATTGACATAAAGTGAATGATAAGAATGTTATTTGGCAAAAGTATTTCTAGCCCTATCTCCATGGAAAGTTTTAAATTAAGGTCAAGATTATTGACCTATTATTTCTCTGCCCTAGCTGCTTGCACAAAGCCAATAAATATAGGTAAAATATTCAAAAAATATTGTATGTTGGAGCTGACATAATGACATACAGAGCTCAATTACATCTTAATTTTTGAGGACTGCTTGAAAAAACTTAGCACAACTATGCCTCATAGCTTATATTTTTTAAGGTAAATCCTGTAAGTTTTAAGGGGCTCTTCCCTAAGTAAGATTTTTCTTACTCTTCTGTATGTCCAAATACTACTTCCCACTGGCAGCCATTTAATTAAAGGCGCTAACAGGTTCTGTGATTAAAAAGCTCTAGAGTTCCTTCACTCGCACAGTCCTACAAGGAGAACACAAATGAGTGAGGCTTCCTAGAACTCTCTCGATACAGCTCTTCTGTTTCGTAACTAAAACATCAGACCAAAGAAGACAGCCTGCCTTTTTTTTTTAACTTTTGTTTTTGTAAGTTTTATTTTCAGAAAGTCCAATAAATGGTATCTTGGCTTTAGTGGGATAGATACACCAAGATATTGGGACTTAAAAATCATATGTGGAAATTTCTGTAAAATAGTATGTACAATGGAATAATGGTAAGACTTCCTAATTAATTCTTAAACAAGTGCTGATCTTCGTTATGACTGCTATTAGGGGTTCAGCTGTAGACTTACAAAACTGACAGAAGCTAAAATTCTCTTTGCCACCAAAATTACAAATGTTAAAAAGTTCAAATATGCACATCAAAGCTGCAGTAAAATTCTAAATTTCTATTTTTACATGCCATGATCCAACATGTCAGACTGTACCTAACAAAACACGGTACATTTCTATTGGAAAATGGGGTCCCATTTATTTGCAAGAAAAAGCTGGATCTCCGCATTCACCAGAGCAAAATTCAATGGCAACCTGCACACAGGCCTCAATTTCGTGTCTTGCTAAAAACAAAATAGAGTTTACATAAAAATAGCTATGACCCAGGGCATCATGTACATTGGTATATGACCGGTACTATTTACAGTAAAAACATGGCATTGCATAAGTCAAGGAATAAAATACCATCATGCATTTCATTTTAACTTTTAAGGTGAAAAATGCAGTTACAGAACTAAGTTTGCTTACCATGATTGTCCCAATATTCACTAAAGGAATAATACCCAAAGGTTTCTTGTTTTCATGTCTCCTTCCACACCTAGCCATTAATCGAAGTGTCACATAGATTACACAGCTGTAGCAACAAGAAACTTTTGAATATAATATGCTATTATACTAGCATATTAAACTAAAGACACAAACACACAACCACATTGAAAGGTTTGATGAAAACGTATGAAATAATTCCAAGAATTATCGTTCTTCAAATGTAAAAAACTATTTGGATCATCTCAAAGGAGCAATGAAGTCCTTTCAAAGTTTAATGTCACTCTTCAGACAAGTACAGACATAACACACTTCTAGAAAGGAACATTCTTTATCATTCTGCACAAATTAAAATACAGTACATTAATCAAAAAGAAAAACATTATATAATTGTTACATTAGATGAAGTTTTTGCTATTTCTTCAGGAGAATGACTCTTTATTACTTCTTTGATGAACTGTTCAAGGGCAGTGAAGTAACCCTGGCACTGCCACGTATCATTATGAGTTCCATCAGGAAAAATGGCTAATCTCTTAGTCCGAGAGGGGGAGAGTTCATAAAGCTGCTTCATCATTACTGGTGGAATTAATTGGTCGGAGAGTCCAGAGATGAAAAGAGAAGGCATTCTGCACTGAGAGATTTTTCTGTAGGACAAAAATTTATTTTTGTAGCACCATAAAGGAAGGTAACGCATTGGGAAGAATGAAAATAAAGTGCTGGCCATATGTGGTATACTTAAAAATGTGTTCTCCACCATAATGGCTGAAATTCTATGTGAATTTTCAGAAGCCAAATGAATAGCCACTGCTCCTCCCAAGGAGCGGCCAAAAAGAAAAATTTTCGTTTTGTCGAGGTCGGGCCTGGCCATCACGTAGTCCAGCACAGCCTCGGAGTCTAAGCACAGCCCCTCCTCGCTCGCTTCTCCGTCGCTCTTCCCATAGCCTCGGTAATCAACAAGCAGAAGGTTAACTTTGAGGTTGACCAGCATGAGCAGCGCATTTGGTAGCCTGTGACCTATGTTGCCTGCATTCCCATGAAAATAAATTATCGTTGGGGAATAGGGCGAACTGTCTCCAGTGTATCTTATCAAAATGAGATTCAGACGCACTCCGTCTTTGGTTCTGATGAAAACGTTTTCATGTGGAATACCAGTGGGCATGGGAACATAAAGGCGCGAAGATGACGGCTGTTCTGGGAAGTAGAGCAACACGTCCTGGAATTTATACAGAATGCCTGCTATTGATATGAATATTAACAGAAGTAAGATAATGCCTCCATACAGGTGAAAAGTCACTATTAAAGGTAAAAGTGAAATGCGGCAGAGAGCCCAAGACCAGGAAGCCAAGGCTATTAGCCATCTTTCAACAAAGTTCCACAGCGTCCAGGACTTTTCCATTGTGGCTCTTCGTATGTGTCCTGAGAGAGAGAGAGAGAGAATCAAAAACTCAGTGTGTATCTATTATTTTAAAAAGCAGATCCCATAAATCACAGTGCTAGGGGAAGCCCCGGAAGCCTACGTCAACCCATCCACAAAGTCAACTGCTCTGATTCCCTCTGTCCCTTTTATTCTAAGGTCTCCTCTCTCCCTCCACTGCTGTACTTATGAAACATTTTCTAAAAAATACATGTATTTCCATGCCTGTATTAATTTAATAGAAAAATAAGTTGATGCCACATTCCCAATTTTTTATATGAAAGAATGAAGGCTCAGGAGCATATGTGGATTGGCCGAGTCCTGGTTTTGCAGGTAGAAGACCCTGGAGGCCAACGAGTGAGCCTCCAGGGCTCTGGTGCACCCACCGGGGAGATAGGTAGGGTGAGGGCAATTTTTTCCTTAATTGAAGTAAAACTGACATATAACATTACTTTAGTTTCAGATGTGCAACATAAAAATGATTTGTTATCTATATATACAACAAAATGATCACAGTAAGTCTAGTTAACATCCATCACCACAAATAGTTACAAAATTTTTTTGTGATGAGCACTTTTAAGACCTACTCTAAGAAACTTTCAAAAAAAATGCAATACAAAACTATTAACTACAGTCACCATGCTGTACATAACATCCCCATGACTTATCTATTTTATAACCCTAAGTTTGTACCTTTTGACTCCCTTCACCTATTTTGCCCCCTTCCCCCAGCCTCTGGCAACCACTGCTATGTTCTCCGTATCTATCAATGTGGGTTTATTTACTTTTTTTTTAGATTCCCCATATAAGTGAGATCATACAGTATTTCTCTTTGTCTAACTTACTTAGTAAAACTCCCTCAAGGTCCATCCATGTTGCTGCAAATGGCAAATTTTCATTCTTTTTATGGCTGAGTAATATTCCACTGTGTGCACGCGTGTGCGCACGTGCATGTGTGTATACACATCCCACATTTTCTTTATCCATTCATCCATTAATGAACACCTAGACTGTCTCCATATCTTGGCTATTGTAAATAATGCTGCAATGAACATGGAGGTGCATATATCTTTTTTAGTTAGTGTTTTCATTTTCTTTGGATAAATATCAAGAAGTGGAATTGCTGGCTCATTTGGTTATTTCATTTTTAATTTTTTGAGGAATCTCTATACCATTTTTCATAGAGGCTGTACCAGTTTACATTCCCACCAACAGTTCACAAAGGTTTCCTTTTCTCTACATCCTCACCAAAACTTGTTATCTCTTATCTTTTTGATAATGGCCATTCTAACAGGTATAAGGTAACATCTCAACGTAGTTTTGATCTGCACTGCCCTGGTGATTACTGAAGATCAGCCTCTTTTCATGTATCTGTTGGACATCTGTATGTCATCTTTGGAAAAAAAAAGTATTCAGATATTCTGTCCATTTTTTAATCAAGCTGCTTGAATTTTTGTGCTATTGAGTTGTGTGAGTTCTTTATATATTTTGGATATTAACTCTTTATCAGTATTTGATTTGCAAACATTTTCTCCCATTCAGCAGGTTGCATTCTCATTTGGTTGATGGTTTCCTTTGCTGTGCAAAAAAGCTTTTTAGTTTGATGTAGTCCCACTTTATTGTTACTTCTGTTGTCTTTGCTCTTAGTGTCAGATCCAAAACATCACTGCAAAAGTCAATGCCAAGGAGTTACCACCTGTGCTTTCTTCTATGGGTTTTGTGCTTTCAGGTCTTACGTTAAAGTCTTTAATTCATTTTGAGTTAATTTTTGTGTGTATAAGACAACAGTCCAGTTTCATTCTGCATCGTTTTCCCAGCATCATTTATTGAAGGGACTGTCCATTCTCCATTGTATATTCATGGCTCCTTTGTCATAAATTAATTGACCATATATGTGTGGGTTTATTTCTGGGCTCTCTATTCTGTTCCACTGATATGTTTGTTTTTATGCTAATAGCATACTGTTTTGATTACTGCAGTTTTGTAATATAGTTTGAAATCAGGGAGCACAATGTCTGCAGTTTTGTTTGCCTTTCTCAAGATTGACTTGGCTATTCAGGGTCTCTTGTGGTTCCATACAAATTTGAGGATTATTTGCTCTATTTGTCTGAGAAATGCCATTGGAATTTTGATACAGATTGCACAGAATCTGTGGATTGCTTTCAGCAGTATGAACATCTTAACAATGTTAGTTCTTCCAATCCATAAGCACTAAATACCTTTCCATTTTTTTGTGTATTCTTCAATTTCTTTCATTAATGTCTTATAGTCTTCAGTGCACAGTTCTTTTACCTCCTTAGATAAATTTATTCTTAGTTATTTTATTCTTCTTGGCGGAATTGTAAATGGGATTGTTTTAATTTCTTTGATAGTTCATTGTTAACATATAGAAACTTAACAGATTTCTGTATATTGATTTTGTAGCCCACAACTTTACTGAGCCAGATAAGCTGAGGGCAAATTTTATTAAAGATGTAGTTAACAGATTCTAACCTATCAAGACCAATCTGATATAATTTATTGTCAGTTTTTCACATTACAGAAAAAAATTATAATTAAACTAGCATAAGAAAAACTAAAATATTTCCTTCTCTATTTGGAGATCCTCACAGCTAATTTTAAAACAATAGTTTAAATTAACCACTAGTTTCTAATATTGTACTATTTTTAGGAAAAAGTTTAATAATTTGTCTTTTACATCTGACTAAAAAAAAACTTTAGCTTGCTAGTATTATGAAGTATGCCAAATCTTTTATACAGTCCTTATTGCAATTTCATACCAGAGTCAAAACAGATTGCTGTGATTTACTCATAAGGCTATAAACACGTGGGGGATAAGTGTGAAACAAAGACACACCAGTTCTATTTAAGAAACAGAGATAAATGAAGAAAATGACTTACTGGAGAAAAATCTTTTAAAATTTGCTGAAAAATAAAACGTGAAAAAAATAAAAGCTTTCAGAAATCAATTTTTTGTTATCAAAAAAGTTTATGCATGCTGTCTTAAAAAGGGAGACAAGGTGAGATGTTACTTTTTTTTATGTAGCAGTCATCTACCCAGATAGTTATCAATTTTTAAGAAATATTACATTTCTTTTTTACTAACAAAACTACCATAAAGAAGTTATTCTTAAATTTAATAAATATTTGTTAATGACACATATTTGAAATTTTATTGCATGCCATAAGCTAATAAATGTAGTAGTTTAGTTCATCAAATTAGACTTAGATACAAACACTGAAAATCAACTTAGACTGACTATAAAAATAAGTTAGATGATTTAATAAATTCGATTTTTCAATATTATAGCACCAAAAAATATTCTACAATTTCACTAAACATGGACTTTCAAATTTGAGTTTTTGTTCCAACGATTCTCTTTGAACATAACCCAACAGCACAGCATTTTTCTGAAGTTTCTCTGAAATCAACACTGCCACCCAGTTGTAGCAAGTTTTACTGCAATGAGCACTATGTTAAGCTGGAGAAAAGCAGGTAAATGAAGTAACAAAAATCCAAGCTTCAAAACTACAAAAGCAATACCTAAGCACTAGGTGTCAGATCTGGTTAAGAACCAGACTGGAAGAGGCTGCAGCACAGCAGCCAGCTGAGCCAATCACACTGAACACTGACTAACCATTCCAGGTACATAATCAATGCTCTTCACAATCTCTGACTGCTACTCACCAACACCTTAAATCAGACATTCCTCTGCACTCCTCCACGCTAGTGGGTGAGTCTCAGCAACGCCTCTGACCACTTAAACTTTTCATCTAATGCTTACTTGAAAATGGGAGACAGACTGGCACTAACTTTATACAGCAAAACAAAAGAATTTTTCTGTAATGATTAGGATTAACAAGGTCTGGGGTAAAACATACAAGTACACTAGAGCACTGTACTATTCAGAAAATCAGATATACATTTAAGATACTTTAGTGAAAAAAATGTGCTTTTTTTCATAGACAAGCCAATCATTTATGACAGACGTACCAGAGAGATGAGAATGTCAAATATTTATTTGATGATACAGTAGGAAAAAACACACTAAAACTGCATCACCCTTTCAGTCTGCTCTACTGTAGATTTGCTGAATAATCTTTAGTTTATAACTTATCTTCAGTCTGAATTTTCTTTTCGGTAGAACGAGAATTTTTAAAATGCCTACTTATAAAGCTGGTCAGCATTATCAAATAAAATTAATAAAAAAAGCATTTACAAATGCTATAGGCATATTACCTTTATTTGCCTTAGTGACTAATATTCCTAGCTGTACTACTACATTCTTAACCATGTTCTGCTCAAATTAACATCAACATCAGAATTTACCAAGCACCTATGAGACAAGAAAAAAGAATCTAGAAATTTGATTGACGGCATGGCAAATCACTCATATAACCTGAATAACGAGGAGTGAATTAACGAAATTTTCAAGCCAAATAAAGCTATTATAAAAACTAATATAACACTAGACAAAATATAAAACTTCCTACATGTGGATAAATCAGATTTTGAAATTCAAACCACCTGTATAGATTAAATCTATATAGTTAAGTTTTTCAAACTTTGAAAAAAAATCTTTTTTTTTAAAGTAGCCTCTTAAATTTCTAATTTCAACATACAATATTAAATTTAAATCTACAAGACCAGGAACTGTGCTTTTCTTTTTCACCACTGTATCCCTGTGGGTAGTACACAACTTTACATATACTCAAGACCAAAATGCGTTTTCAATGAGCAATCCAGCAATGTGCCTGAATGATTAAACGTCTAAGAAAAGACGACTGCATTCTGAGCACTGGGCATATAAGTTCAAGACTGGACGTTAGGAAAATGGCACATGTGAGTCCACTGCTGGTTAGGAACAACAGGGATCAAACCTGCAGTTTTCCACAAAACATTCCTGAAAAGTTGCCTTAATATAATCTTACAATGGACTGTTATTAAACTGTGGAAGTCAGAATAAAAATCAGTTCATTTGGAGGACTATCAAATGCAACT